CTCGGTAAACAACCAAGAGTACTTTTTAAGTGAGCTATCGAGCGAGGATGAATGTTTCGGTGGTGCAAGGTGCGCCGTTCTCCCCCCGCCAGTTAAAACAGAGTGGAAACTTTGTTGTCGCCATGGCCATAGGATTGATTGTAGTCCGTCACTCGACCTGAGGTGAGTATAGCGACCTCAGTAAGTTAGCGTACTTTTGGTCATTAATTTTCGAAGAAGGGAACCAGTCTGAGCTCCGCGATAAACTTAGTCGAAGGCACCTTTATGGTCAGTGCTATTTGATGACAATCAAAAATATTCATCAAGTACCACAAACGATGAGCGTAATGTATGATGCAGAGAAGAGGAAGTGCAATATCGAATTCAGAATATTAGCGTTCGCTGATCTGTTGGTGCCATACCCGGTGATTCACTAGGCTGGAAACACATTGTTGAGAAAAAATTCATCCACCATTGATTTGCCCTTGTATTCGATTAAACCATGTCAGATGGCAGTGGGTGATCACAACTCACAGATCAACTGACACACTTCCTAAATCGTCTGTGTATCTGGTGCGGAAAGCCGACCGCTCGGTTTCGACCTTTCGCTGTTCGATGGGTAATTCGAATGTGAAAAGATCACTGTTAGTGGTGGGGCTTCGTATCTCAGCTGGTAGGGTGTGCACGTGCAAAGCGTAAGCGGCGTCCATGCGTGGGTTCGAATCCCAACGAGGCTACTGAACTTTTCACAACCGCCATGCAAAGGAAAGATGACAGATCACATTTGGTCTGGCTGAACGCATCACATTTGAGTTTTCGGTAATCATGCGAACAAATCAAGCGTATTAATCCGGCAAGTTTATCTGTGAAAATTGCACTATTTTCTACAAACCGAGCTGTTTCAAAGCGGAGTAGATATAGTCCGGAAGACACCAGTGACTACAGAGGAGTTGAGTAATAACGTGTAATATCTACACAATCGCCCAGTTCAGTTCAGAGTAGAAAAATGTCACTGCTTTCCACCTTTATGATACGTAGCTCGTTTGCACAATCTTTCGTGGTAACGCATACGGGCAGTATACTGCAAAGTGGTATCCGCGGTGCCACTGAACCTCGTATTCTCGTATTCGACATTCAGTATTACGACAACCGTGGCTAGATTATTTTACCGACCCAGTACAGAGTTATCATCGCTTACGGGATCATGGTAACTGTAACGGCGCACCTTGCACCACCGAAACATTCATCCTCGCTCGATAGCTCACTTAAAAAGTACTCTTGGTTGTTTACCGAGAAGTTAGTTCATTCGGACTGGAGGGTGTTTGGACAGACCCGGTCCAGTCGGTGACATTTGACGGTCAAAACACCAATCATCTTGTCGGGGTTTCCAATGAAGTACGACTGGTTGGATTCACTTGAATTTACGGTGAATTCACTTGAAGTTACAACGGATTCGCTTGAAGTTGAAAAGGTGTAGGCACGTTCGGTTTCGCATTCTAGCCACAGCGGAGGCAGTTTCCATTCGTCTTCACAATCCCCCTCAGTGTGCTCAGAAACAATTTGTGCAAGCACTCAAGCTCCCATGGCCGGATTGCCGACAAGTGACCTGGCATGAAGCATCAGAGCAAATGATAATTGGGGACCAATAGTGAAACAAACTGTTGAATACTTTAATTACTTTTCTTCTTTTTTCCTTGTAAATCCTTCTGTGTTCCCAGCCATATTTATTGTGTTGTAATGGCGTGCTTAAGACACATTGAAAACGAGCTTGTTTGCCAATTTTCACATCATGAGCTCTGAGAGACTGTTTTAACATTTTAAACAAATAGTGTTAGTGTTTATGCGACTCTGTACTACATTCCCGAGCTACTTCATGAATGATTCCATAACGTCGACATGTCATGGCGTATGAGAAGATCCCGAAGTCCACTACCGAATCGGATCATCTATGGATGAATGAATCTTATGATGAAATTTTCAATTAAAGAGACAGCTGATAGCCGAAACACCCCGACGGAAAACCTTTTTTAAAGTACCAAGGAATAGAAAGAAATAGTAGATAGGTAAAATATTAGAAAGATATTGATTTTCGAATTTAGGATTTGATCTTCGCTGCTTTCGCAACTCTCTAGAAGAAGAAAAGACAACACTCTCCGAAAAATTATTTGGCAAGTATCAAATTGTGGGGCATAAATTAACTTTAAAAAAGTGTGACCCATACCAAAAACAATGCACTTACCATGGTATTCGTGAATCCGAAAATAATTCGTAGTCATTACATAAAAGTAAAAACTACCTAAAATGACTGTCGGTAGTAGTGCTCGTCTGTTTAACGCCAAGCTAAAGCATACCATATATTAGAGCATTACACGACATTAGAACACTGGATGCCAGCAGTGCCTAAGATCACTCAATAACAGCTTACGACGAGAGAGTAATTGGAGAGTGGGGATATAAGCTTGAAACACGGACAGGTCAACTAACCATTTCCTCCACATCTGCAAGTCCATGACAAGCAGTAGAATAAGCAGATTCCAAATTTGACTGGATCCAGCAGGTTCTTTCCGATTTCAAGCTTGCATGCAGTTCGCCTGACGGTCCGGACCGCGAGGCTGTGGTCCACGATAGGAGGCAGCGAAATGCACGATCACGTACTCGTGCATCCGTATCCTGTGTGTGCCAGAGGACCAATTCACCGGCTAGAACTGAGCCCACGCATAATCTCGGTCCGGCTCGTAAAGCTAGAACATCTAGAGCTAGGCAACGTGCGTGCGCGCGACGGCAGGCGAAAGCCTGATGGTGGAAACGATGAGAGTGAAAATCGATCACTAGTGAAATGGGCGAGGAAACAGACTTACGTTCTTGCAACTCGGATAAATCTTGTTCGAGAGAGCTCCTGCTTTCCTGTAAACAGCACGAGCTATTTAACTTATTCTCTCTATCTAATCTGTCCCTTTCCTAGAGACGCTATTCAGTTTGCAGCTGGACAGAGATTTTAACATGAATCAAATAATGCCTGATTTTCTGAAATTCTTAATTAACGACTAAACAAAAATGCTTTCGCTCAAGTAATTAACGTCTTCTGTACTCACAGTGCATCCCAGGTACAAAATTTCTGGTTCCTATTAGCTATGCTTTTAGTAGATCACATGCTGCTTCCCGCGATTTCACTCCAAAGAGAAATGCGGGTGATTAAATGAAGTATTTTCGGTGGTTCGCCGAGCCCATCAATGATTTTGAGAAAATACTAGGTCAGGCACGATGACTCACAAAACGCAACCAGTCCCATTGTTAAGGTTACGTGGAAACTGCATCACCTAGAGAGAAAATGAGCCCGTTAGACTAAACCACGATAGCAAATACTCTTACTTCGTGTTAGGATCATATTTGATTAGGTATTCTGCAGAAGGTTGATACCAAATATAGTTGTGAGCCTTGAACCAAACATGTGATCAAGTTAAGTCAAAGAGACGCTGTGTGTATCCGAAGAGTGAATTTTCAGCAATTTAAAGACTTTCATGGTGGGCATCGAACAAAAAATTGAAATAAAAAAATAACAATAAATTTTATGCTGTCGTAAAAGAAAAAAAATCTAATGCAAGAGTCATTCTCTATGGTGCATGACAATTGTCTTAAGATTAACCAAGAGCCGAGCCAGGTTTGAAACTATACGGTTTCTGTAAGAGGAAGCGCATGCAAGGAGTTGATATTTGGAGTGAGTTCGGGGAGTTGATACGGCTTTCACCATTTCGGAATGCAGATAGTCCCCTAGGTTATGCATTATCCTGTTAATAAGCTTATTATAAGCGTCCAACTGTTTGGAAATTAAAAAAAAATATCGAACAAAACAACTCTATCAACTCTACTGTATCGGGGGAAAAGTGTGACAGATTTGGGAAACAAAGTGAAATATTTTTCCTTTGAACCAGGTAGTAATATGATGTAGGCGATCACGAATTTCAAGAATGACATCAAGTGAAACGGCCAGTTTCCTGAGCCTGTATACATGAAACAACAATCTCCAAACTTTTGTAAAAACGTTAATAACATGAAAAACCAGGTCAGGTTATGAGTGAGTGTGACACCGTCATTCAGAGCATGAACTTACTTGGCGAAGTTGTGCGCAATCGGCGGACTGTAACGGTGTTTGCGATTTCCGAAGACCATCCAAACTGATGAGCAAAGCTTCTGTTTGGTCTCCGGATGTTGAATCGGTTGGAGAAACAGTGGCTGGGTTCGTCTCGNTTCGTCTCGTGCATAACGGCTAAAAATAGACACAGGAATGAGAGCGCATCGTTCAATGAATAGCCAATCTTGATTGATATAACAACGCAACCCGCTCGCGTTGGCAATACGGCTTTTGTCTGATAGATGCAATAAGCCTAGTTTCAGTAACAAAATTGTACATTATCTATTCCACAATGATTGGCCCGGATACAATAAAATGTTAAAACGACAAATTAATCAATCAATATGGTTATTATTGGTTATTTTTCATAAAATATCCCGTAAATATTCTATTCTATCATACATACATCGACAGGAAGTTTTCGAAAATCGATAAATATGTAGCAGGCGGACTTATTACAACCCTCGAGAATGTTTACCGCATCGGACTTTGTGTGTAATTACTGCTCCAGAGTAGAGAAAACCACGAGCATTTTAACAGATGTGATGACAGATGAAAAGTTGAACAGAACGATCAAGTTGAATAGCTGTCTCCTCTCTACCATGGGGTTCAACGGGTCCCGCCACCGGTTGGTTGGAAACTCTGAAGGACCTGCTTGCTTATCAAGTTTCGGAAAATAGATCAGCTCCGTAAACAGTATCCACAAAGTTCCGCGGAAGTAGAATACTGAGTGATGACTCCGTCGTTCGGAACTGCTTTACAACTCGGTCGCTCGAGCCAGGGCGGGGAAAGCGGGATAAAAGCTCTTTACTCGACTTTTTACTGGTGGTTTCAGTTCTAACATTTGCACACCTAAGTGCAAAACAGAGGAATTATTCCAGACGAGCCACTGGTCAATTGTGCAGTTAACTCGCCCCTTCTGAAAAACCACGTCCAATAAACAGAGCGCGATATGATAGCAGCTCAATTGGAGGGGGTCACAAACCAACAGTAATCGTTTTCTTGTTATTTTTATTCAATTAAGATACTTGTAGAGGTGTGTACGAAGACCTAGGCTGTGTGCTGTGTTAACTATAGTTTCTTTACGCTCAAAATAGGCCCAATAACTGATCACCTTGTGCGTTCCTACTTTACATACATTCTCCTAATTTGATCTATAAAAGTTGACAGTATTTCGTCTATGAGCAAATCAAGGACTAATTTCTTTTGTGCAATGAGAGACACAAGATGATGCCTACGCAATGATTGGTCAATGATTAGCCAAGTTCAATACTTGCTGTATAGTGATACTGTCTGTACTGTGCTTCATTTTTTGGTTGCTTCTTTGTATCTTTTCTTGCAAGTTGAAATAACACTTAACAACATAAAACCCCGCAGAGAAAGACTAAGAGGAAGCTCTCAGAGTAGAGACAGAGTCAGTGACTCAACTCATGGATGACGGAAAACTTTGTACGGGACGAAGATACAGTTTTCGGATGAATATAACTTCCCTCACCTGCAATAGCAGAGAAGACACATTTAGAGAGGATCGCACCAAAGAAAGCATCTTTTGAACGCTCAGGAGCCTATCCAACCTTCTGGTACTTTTTCCATGGAGTGGCTATTTTATATACATAAGCATACCTATCTAGATTTCGCTAATTTAGGACTGTGTTCAGAACAAATCACTGTACAATATCTTCATGGTAAAGAAATCGGCCAACAGTTTCTTCGAACGTGAAATGCTGTCAGGTTGCCTGAACCACGGTAGTTAAATCGATGTAGAACTGTTATTCCTTACCTAAACACTGTATGTTAACAGCTAAACCTATTTGGGTCTTGAACACCTCAACGAAATCACACTTTACTCTGCAAACCTCTAAACAGAGCTTCGCCAAAAACAAACGGTCTACATTGTATGTTGGAATGTTCGCACCCTGCTGGATCATGAAAACCAATGCAGGACTGCACCAACTCTGCATGAACATCAAACTGACGCCAGAATTCCTTGCACCGATGGGGCATCGAAATCCTAAAGGGGATAGCAACTACATGAAATACATCATATCGGACTGAATCAACATCACTGTGCAGCGGCATGCAGCGAAGTTCATCATGCACACGTGGGAATGTGCGAAGTAAACAGGAATTAGGACAATCCTGAAGGACCCGAAAAGAAAGAAAATCTGTATGGTCAACACAGAGTACACAATTAAACTGTGCACGCATACCTTTACAAACATTTTTATCTGATAAGAAGTGACAACAACAGCGCCATTAATGTCGGTTCACTGCCAAGTCACTGTCACGTCCTACCATTTGCAGTCTTCTGTACCCAAGCTCGAAAGCCCGTGCACTTATATGGCAGCGATCAGCGAAGTTCGCTTCTCTGTATTTCGCTGTACGATGATGATGATGCTGTACTTATTTATTTCTCGTCTCTACTTCATCTGTAGACCTCCACGTGATTTTCTCCAACCCGAAGCGGTGCGGTAGGAGATCGGCAAACACAAAAAGCACCCTAACAAATGCAACTTAGTAATATGAACACATAGATCAGAAACACTGGCTTGCACAATGTGGTGGTGGTGGCGCAGTGGTTTAATCGCTGTAACAGGCGTGCTTTGGACCCTATGGTTTGAGGTTCAAACCCCGCCACCACCACCCAACTTTGGTGGCAGGCAGCTGTGCTATCGTCCAGCTCAATACCACGGCTAACCTATCGGGGCCTTATGTGGTTCGCCATTCCGAACCCCGTGGTATACAAACGTCTGCAGTGTTGGAAATAAGTGGGATGAAATGAAAACCAGATGCCCGAAATATGACATGGTCATTCTGACCGAAACAAGGTTGTCACCAAGACACATCATTGATTACCTCATCCCCCGGACTTTGCCGTGTATAGGACAGATAAGGTGGGTAAGGGAGGCGGAGTGTTGATTCTCGTAAAGAATCAATATGCGCAGTGGGAAACCGCGGAACTGAGACTGTGCACCCGCACTGTGCAAGCAGTTGGATGCATTATTTGGAACCGGGGGCGACATTTCGTCATCCTTAGAGTCTACAGAGCACCCTCGACTAGATCAGAAGAGGATAGACAGCTGATAAACACATTACGCACGTTACTTAGGAAAACGACGAAGACGGTCATAGTTGGTGATTTTAACCTGCGCGAAATCGATTGAGAATACGCTGACGCGGGAGATAATTCCTCTAAAGATGAGTTTATAATATGTATCCACGATCAGGCACTTTATCAACATATTCGACAATCAACGCGATTCAGATATGTACAGAGATCGTCCATTTTAGATCTAGTATTTACCCGAACGGAAAGCGTTAGTGAACTGACTATGGAAGTCCCTCTGGGAAAGAGCGATCATAGTGCAATCACGTTTAGAATGTGCACAACTCAGGAGAAGCCCCTTGCAAATTCATCAGGAACTTCGGTCGATGGAATACGGCCGACCTACTTCAACAGGCTAGTTCAACCATTTGGTCATCGCAGAATCAAGATGAATCTGTCGAGGAGGACCGGGGCGTACTTTGGAAACGCCTAGTAGAGCTCACTGACATGTAGGCGCTATTGCAACCGAAGAGGAATTCTCAAGGCCCTTCATGGTTGACAACTCCCCTAAAGAGAGCGATAACTTTCAGGGGGCACGAATGGAAGGACTATACAAGCTTTGAAGGGCAGTACAGGTGATTGGCTCGCAAAATGGCTCGAAATTACGCAAACAAGTTTATAAAACAAGCTAAAATGAAACGTGAACTGAGGATCACTCAGTAACCTAAAACAAATCTCAAAAGGTTTTACGCATATGTACAATCGAAGGCTACCCTAAGGCAATCGTTTGGGGTCCCAAGAAACCACGCCGGCGGAATAAGTGTCGCCGGAGGCAGAGAAGTGCGAGATACTCAAAACGTTTTTTGAAAGCATCTATAAAATGGATGATGAGCGCAGCTAACCCTCACATGTGCCACAGGTACGAGCTCCTCCAATGAGCGAACTACAGGTAGACAGAACTCAAGTTAAAAAGACACTGAGTTGAAACCTAGAAAATCAGAGAGGAATGATGGACTACATCCGGCCATCGTCAAGCC